TAAATTAATAAAATAATAAAAGATATAAATTTTATATAATAAATAAAATTTTTTATTATAAAAACTTTAATTATATTGTAATCTTATATTTTATCTAATATATTTAATTTTTTAAAAAAAATTTAAGCAATTAAATTTATAATATTAATTTTAATTATCAATTATTTTTAATAAACAAATTTATTTTATTTTTTATTGTATTTTTTAGATTATTTTATTTGAATTATTTAAATTTTTAGTATTAAATTAAGTTTGATTTTTTTTAATTATAGATTAATATTTCCAAAATTTTTATAAATAAAATTATATAAACATGAGTTAAAAATTAAATTAATTATAATAATCAAACTTTATTTTATTGTCAATATAAAATCGGTACTTATTTTTAAAGCTATATTTTTATTCATAAATAAAATAAATTAAAATATTTAAATATTGATTAATAATTTTATATGAAAAATTTTTATTTGAATTTATATCAATTTTTATTATGCATTTTCAAAAGATAGTAAGTATCAATTTTTAATAAATAGATTTAAAATTAATTTTTAAATTTGAAATATACATGATTTTTTCCTTCGTTGAGTACGTGCATGCATATTGTTACACGCCCGCAAATATGTATAAATGAATTTGAATATGAAAATTAATCTTCCAATAAACCATGGTCCGTGGAAATAATCTTATCGACGATTTAAAGCTCTTAATTAACAATCCTCAGTATAGTGATTTGGAAATTAAATGCAAGGATGGCACCATTATCTATGGCAACTGTGCTATTCTTGCGGCCCGTTCTGAAGTATTTGATAGGATGCTCTTTACTCGAACAAGCGAAACCCTTGATAAACGTAAACAAGTATCTTTTCCAAAAATTGAAACGCCCATTATGAATATTATTCTTGAGTATTTATATACTGGATCAATTTCTGACGGAACCTTATCAACAGAAAATGCATTCGAAATTTTAAACGCGGCAGATTTTTTAGAATCTTCAAGATAATATTTCAGAATTTTATAAGGAAGCAAGTCAGAAAGAAGGAAATGATAACAAATCCCTTGAATTGTTATCAAAGGCGGTTGAACTTATGTCTTCGTCGGCTGATAATGGAATTATTGATTTTTTAGTGGACTCTGTTTCTAGACTTTCACTGGACACTATTGAACCAGATCGACTATCCTTCCAAGCATTACAATGTTTACTATCCAAGTCAAATGACGAAAAAAAAGAATTTGCTACTAGTGAATATTCGCTACTACGGATCTCTATTTTATTAGCTGCGAAGAAAGTTTCACAAGAGGCTGTAGATGCCTTGGAAAAAAGGCTGCCAGTATGGGATAAAGTCAAAGACGAGTTTGACTTTAACAATAATAACATAGTTAATATCAATGACAATTGCGCTTCTATTGCCGGTAATTTAACACCTCTCCTCGAATTTATTGACCTTCGACGCATTGATGGAAAAATCCTCACGGATATCATCGAACCGTTGGATTTAATTCCATCTAAGAAACTTATGGAGGTTTACCGTTTTTATGTTTCTGGGAGAAAAAACATATCACCTTTTCGTGGCATTTTTCGGGGAGAGATTAAATGGGACAAAAATGGATGTGGTCCAAGTTTAAATATCAGCTCTGATGGATACACAGTATCACGAAACGATCAAGGAGGATGGAATATTGTTAGAACTAACCAACTTATGAATCGTGGAATTCACAAACTTTGCGTTAAAGTTGAAGACAATAAAATGGGTAATTGGATAGGAATTGGTGTTTGCAGTGAGAAAGTTAACTACTTAACTCATTTAGGAAACACCAGTAATGGTTGGTGTCTATTTTCTCAAGGTAGCCAATATCTAAACGACAACGTAACTAGAAACATAAATGCTCCAAAATTTAGTGATAATGGTAGTGAAGTTACAGTACACTTAAATATGGATAGTAAAACATGTGAGCTTTCTGTCAATGGAAGAGATAACGTTACAAGATGGACTGATCTCCCATCAATGTTATATTTCGCCGTGGCCTTATGTGGTCCGACAAAATTAACAATAAAAAATGGATTTTAAGCTTTCATTTGTCCTATTTTAGAATGGATTTCCTTTAGCAAAGTCTTAATCATATCAATAACTGAAAAAAATACAGAGAAGTACAAATAAACTATAAAATACAAAATTATCAAACGGTTCATTTTCATTTACTTATTCATAAGTTCAAATATTGAAGAGTAAAACAATTTTTATTTAATTACTGAATAGTCGAAACCAATTCAAATTCAATTGAGATGTACTAATTAAATTGATTCCAAATGAAATTGCTTAAATTGACAACAAAATTATCTATCTGTTAAGAATAATTTGAAATAAATGTCTGAAATGCTGTATATAAATAAAAAATAAAGAATTGCAGGTGGATAAAAAATCACTGCCCAAAGAAGGTTGGGATCAAGTGTGTTCTGGAAGTAAAGACTTCCACTAGATGTTAAATCTCCTTAGATGATACATGAAAAGGGAATCAAGATCAAGAATGGATAAATTCCTCAGACATTCAGAAGTAGAAAGAATATTTCAATCAAGCATTTCTTATTATGAAGAAGTCTGAGAAGCAAATCTTTGGAGAAAGCTGGGGAATTTTTTTTCTCTTCGCTTTCTTGTAGTTCATTTGGACTTTTTTAGATATTCTCTTTCTTCTTTTTATCAACCCATCCTTTTATAGTTTCTTGTATTTCAGTGACTTGATAGAACATTTGATAGTGACAATCTGCTGAATAATGAAATAATAGACTAGAAGAATATTTATTCAAAGATCATTATGAAGCAAAATATTGTTTCTAAAGTCAAACTTAAAGTCTATTATTACTTATGATAAGTTTATTAGATTTAATAAAAATGTTCAACTATAGTATCTATTATACTGCTCAAATAAAATTTATTTATATTTTTAATTGATTAATAAACTAGAATCTAGCTTAATTATAGGTATATAAAAAAAATCAATATTATATTGTAATTAAATTTATATTTAATCAATATATTTAAGTAAAATTATTTTTAAAAGAACAATTTTTAAAGAAATAATTCAAGAAGTGATTTATAATAATAAAAAAATAGTTAAAAATAAATTTATGAAGAATTTTTTAAACAGTGTTATATAATATTTTATAAGAAATATGGTTTATTTAGAATTTAAGTTTATTAATAAATTAAGAAAACTAGAATAATTTCTTTGGTTTTAAAGTTAAAAGAAAATATTCAATCTTTTAAAAGTCAAGTGAAATTATTTTTACAAATTTATCATATTTTTGAATAAATTATGACTATTTTTCCTTTTTCAATCCATCCCTTTATAGTTTCCTTATATACTTGTAAAGATGGATTATTTAGAATACTTAAGCTTTCTATATTTTATAAATTGCCTGATTTATAATAATTATATTATATATTATATTTGATAAAGTAATCTATATTAATTAAGTATCAATAAGAATATCAAAGAAATAATTATAAATAAATATATAAAAATAGAAATATAATGAAGATCATAATTAAAAATAACTATTTAGTGATATTAAAAATTGTTTTTATTATAATATATATTTTTTATTTATTTTTATTTTTATTTTTTTATTTTTTTTTAGGATTTAATTTATATATACTATATATAATATTCAAATATTTTTTAATAATAATAATATTTTTTGAGTACCCATTAATAGACTAGATTATCAGATTATTAATCAATTAAAAACATAAGTATATTTTCATTCAAGCAGCATAATATATATTACAGCTAAACAATTATTCAAATCTAACCAACTTATCATAAATATAAAGGTCTTTAAGTTCAGCTTTGAGGAACAATTTTTTGCTTTACAGTGTCTTTGCATAAAAACCCTCCTAGTCTACTATATCATTGTCATCAGATTATTGTTATCATATGTTGAATCAAGTTCGGCAATTTTTATTTGAGTTATTCAGTGGGTTTGAATTACTGTCATATATATGTATATAGATAAATAGGGAAAAAAAAATAAATAAAGGGGTAACATATCTATTGTGTATATTCTCAAATAAGTACTATATATATCAATTATTATAGTAAATCATTATATATATAACTAATTATATTGATTATACCATATATGTATAAGAACTATTTTAATGTAAAACTGTATAATTATATAATATTTTAATTATTCTCTACATATTTTTATTATATATTAGAGTAGGTAAGTTATCAAATTACCAAATATAATATTTTGGACCTAATATTTTAATTCTTCAAAGTGGTTCACAGATTTTTCCTTTTACCAAAGCCTCCTGATAGTTAAGTCAATAAGTAGCACAAAGATCAATACTTAATTATTAGCAGCATCTATCAATTTTAGGATCAAATCTTATATTTATTACTTTATTCAATACTTGTATAACTGGGTGACATTCAGATAATTTTAGCCGAATTTAGATATCACAGATGATTACAATTCTTATATAGACTGTATTACTTATTAATAAATATTTTTTTCCTAAATACTTTATAACAAGTAGCTATATTTAGAAATATTAGTTAGATACAATTAGGCCAATTGATACAGATTTTATCAACTTCAAACATTTCTACCTGAAGAATTTAAACTTGTATCTTACAATCAGACCTATGAAGTACTAATCACTGCACTATTGATTTATAGAATATGTTTTTTATTAATATTATTTTAAAATAAGATTAAGTTAATAATATAATAAAAATATAAATATTATAATAATAAATAAAAATTTTTATTATAAAAACTTTAATTATATGGTGATCTTATATTTTATCTAATATACAGTAATTATACTAGTCAAAAAAATTATTCACTATACTATCACTTATATAATACTTAGCAAAAATAAACAATTCAGCAAAAAAAAGAAAAAATAAATTAGAAACAATATAATTCAACTATAAATATTACAAAAATTGACATATTAACAATTCATCAAAAATTTTATTAACAATTTATCAAATAATTCATAAACTATTCAGAAAAAATTTATTAAAAGTTTGGCTCAAAATTATTTATTAGCAATTCAATAAAAATCAACATTAATTTATTAATAATTTATCAAAAATTCGTTAAAAATATATCAGCTATTCATTAAAAATTTGTCAACTATTCATTAAAACTATTTATTAAAAATTTATTAACTATTTATTAAAAATTCAGTAACTATTTAATAAATTATTCATTAAAAGTTTATTAATTATTTATTAAAAATTTAGCAACTATTCATTAAAAAAATTGATAAACTTATGTATTAATTTTTTGAATTAAGATTATATTTATAAATTATGAATAATACAAACTATAATATAATATAGTTGCTTCCAAAAGTTTGAGTCTACTTACTATATTTTTATTATAAATTTCAACTTTGACAATTTTTAAATCATTAACTAT